CATATAGTATCTACCCATATATGATGTCATGTAAACGTATGCTACCATATTGCATATAGTATCTACCCATATATGATGTCATGTAAACGTATGCTACCATATTGCATATAGTATCTACCCATATATGATGTCATGTAAACGTATGCTACCATATTGCATATAGTATCTACCCATATATGATGTCATGTAAACGTATGCTACCATATTGCATATAGTATCTACCCATATATGATGTCATGTAAACGTATGCTACCATATTGCATATAGTATCTACCCATATATGATGTCATGTAAACGTATGCTACCATATTGCATATAGTATCTACCCATATATGATGTCATGTAAACGTATGCTACCATATTGCATATAGTATCTACCCATATATGATGTCATGTAAACGTATGCTACCATATTGCATATAGTATCTACCCATATATGATGTCATGTAAACGTATGCTACCATATTGCATATAGTATCTACCCATATATGATGTCATGTAAACGTATGCTACCATATTGCATATAGTATCTACCCATATATGATGTCATGTAAACGTATGCTACCATATTGCATATAGTATCTACCCATATATGATGTCATGTAAACGTATGCTACCATATTGCATATAGTATCTACCCATATATGATGTCATGTAAACGTATGCTACCATATTGCATATAGTATCAACCCATATATGATGTCATGTAAACGTATGCTACCATATTGCATATAGTATCTACCCATATATGATGTCATGTAAACGTATGCTACCATATTGCATTTATTATAGTTACCATACATGAAATTACTTACAACTGTAGTTTATTTATAATAAAATAATTATTGAGCTCTTCCTTTCTGAAAACTAACCCTAAATGCATGAGTAGTTTCATTTTCCATCATTCTTTGAAGGCATCGAGTGAGTATTGTCAATAATTTTGCTAAAATTCCTTGATAGAAAACATGCCCCTATTTTTAAACTATCCCTCAATGAACAGTTCACATGTATGAGCACCGACCTTTTGAAATTTGTGAGTCATTTTTACAAATTTTGCCAACTCAGATTGCACAGATGGATGTTATCATTTGCATGAGCTCAATTGAGAGACACATTGAGAACCTCACAATGCCATAACACCAAAGGTTTACTGAAGTTGTGCTTTACAGTTGACTATGAGCGAAACAAACCCAGAAAACTGCTTTTAAAAGATTGTGTGGGCCTTGTGAGCGTTGAACGCGATTCAGTAAGTTCTTTCAAATCGGATAATAGCGTAATGCAAGATGTTACTGTATGAAATTAACACCTTCGACTGGAATGATAACAGCTGTGTACCAAGTAAACAACTGGGCGTACCATGCAAATTATATTTCCCATGATGAACTGCAAATTATATTTCCCATGATGAAATGCAAATTATATTTCCCATGATGAAATGCAAATTATATTTCCCATGATGAACTGGTGCAATCCTGGGATTGTGAAGCCGCGCTTTAAAAGCTGAATAATGTTCAACTTGAATATTCATGATTCATTGTGCGAGTTCAGACCAGCCTTGATGGTTACTCTTTGATATCTATGAGAGCAGAGATTTTATATTTGAGGAAACGAATCATATGGATCACTACTTATAGCTAACTTTGGTTAATTATAATTATTTTAAAAGGCACAAAATAAAGATAGTTGGAGTATCCAGGAATTATGTCATTGTACAACCATATTTTCGAGTGCATGTCAAATATAGGCACACAAGAACCATTTTGGCAAGACCCCAAAAATACATCAAAATCACTTTTGTTCTTTGACTTCTGTCTATTCATTACACTCCCTCTGGTAATTTTATTACCAAAAATACAGAGTGACAGGTGCAGCATTGCGTAGGGAACTGTTTATACTGTATCAATGCAACAACATATTGCAGTTGTTCTCAATCAAGCACAGCTTTCATTGTTGATAACTCCCATCTTGATGAATTCTTTTTTGTCTTTAGTAGATGACCCTGATATTGATACATATGTTCTTTCCATAATGGAACTGCTATCTCCTATATTAACACCACTGTCTGTCTTCCGCCGCTTCACAGTCCCTGTTTCTCCCTGACTCTCAATGTGTTTTCGAATGCTGAAAATACATGAAATGAACCATGATGTTTGGAACTATGGACTCGATAATGGAGCATCATTTTGAGGGGAAAAAACCAAGATCTTGACGGCCATTTCGTCTAAGGTCACCAAGCATGTATATTTATAACCATACTTTTTCGGAGGCTAACCCAAGATGATGAAATTTGAATACCTCTCTTCGGGTTCAATTGAGAATAAAAGAGGTACACATCCTAAAAATTTATGGAAATTTATTTTCTCAGTTTTGGCCATGAAGTAATATTGAAGTGATGCACAATTTCTGTGAAAATTTGAGGTACAACTTGGAATGCATCTTGTGTTTTATTGAAATACAACCTGACCACTACATGAATGATAGAGGTATTTCATCATTGACTAAAAAAAGCATACTTACCACAATAAAATTTCATTGAGAAGTCCCATATAACGAATGTATTCTGATTCACCAAATGGCTGGGGAAAAAACAGTTATATTACGATAAATGTGCATCATTATTATCTGCATATTCTTTATAGACCATCACACTGTATAGAAGATGCATCAGCCAATCATACTGTTTAGGGGTTAAAGCTGTGGTACTGTAAATGTATTAATTTTTCACATGCATTAAATTTAATACTCACAAAAATAGCAAAAAAGCCCAGTAATTAATAAATGTATTTACAGTACATATCAGCAAATTGTAACAAGGGAGTATAGCAATATGTAGTGTAGTAATATGTAGTGTAGCAATATGTAGTGTAGCAATATGTAGTGTAGCAATATGTAGTGTAGCAATATGAAGTGTAGCAATATGTAGTGTAGCAATATGAAAATGGTGTTGGATTTTGTAAGAAAGTTCTGCCAGTCAGATTTTTAACAACATGTATTACAAACAAGAAAAAAAGATTGCATTAGTGGAGCACTATGCACCATTCCTAATTCAGAAATTAAGAAGCAATATTTGCGAGTTGCCTTTAGCATACTTTAAGCATACTGCAGTAAATCCATCATACAAGGATGTACAGTACTGACTAACTGGCAGAAGAGAAGGCAGAGATGGGTGATGTACCTCATATTTCCAAATGTAAACACTGGAACAATGTGTTGTTGGTGAATTAAATTGTTGTGGGAGCATCTTGCATGTTTCTGGGTATTTTTTTTGTCTTCATTGTTTTGATCATAATGTTTAGAATGCATGCTGATTTGAGGATACGGTCAAACCACACATACACTTTATGCACTTTGTAGAGGGAAACAAGGTAATTTTTTCATAAAATTAATTATTATACAAACATGCAGAAACTATTTTAATCTGTCACTTTGAGCTAGCTATATCACAAAGACAAAGTTACAATTATTATGTAACGTAAACTAGTACAGCTGTAGAATACCCTCTAGACACATGATATGGACATACCTTTGAAGTTCGCCTGGGATCCTGGATTTTATTATTATGAATAAAAAGATGAAATTATTGATTGCTATTTAAATAGCAAGAAGAATCAGGTTCATTCAGTGACTATAGACACATGCACAATAAAGTACCAGGTTCATTCAGTGACTATAGACACATGCAGAATAAAGTACCAGGTTCATTCAGTGACTATAGACACATATACAATAAAGTACCAGGTTCATTCAGTGACTATAGGCACGTGCATGTGTACAATAAAGTTCCAGATTCACTCAATGATTATAGACATGTATATAACAAAGTACCAGATTCATTCAATGACTATAGACACATATACAACCAAGTACAAGGTTCATTCAATGACTATAGACACATGCACAATAAAGTATCAGGTTCATTCAGTGACTATAGACACATACACAATAAAGTACCAGGTTCATTCAGTGATTATAGACACATGCATGTGTACAAAAAAGTACCAGATTCACTCAATGATTATAGACACGTATACAATAAAGTACCAGATTCACTCAATGACTATAGACACATGCACAATAAAGTACCAGGTTCATTCGATGATTATAGACACATGCATAATAGTGTACCAGGTTCATTCAGTGACAATAGACACATGAATAATAGTGTACCAAGTTCATTTAGTGACTATAGAGATATTCGCAATAGTGTACCAGATTCACTCATACAATTTCACAAAGTACTATTCAATTCAGATAGGGTAGGTAGCCAAGCATATGCATTTCACAATAATTTTCCAGGTTCTTTCGTAAAGTTTATTCCATTATCCCCATAAGCGGTTGTGTGCGTCAAGGTAAAATAAATTAAATTTTATTCCAAAACTCATAGAATGAGCATACTGCAACGGGACAGAATAATTCCCTGTACACTCATATCGAACAGAGTAGTCTATCAATGTTCTATTTTTGATCTGCCTGCAACACTTTGTGGCTGGAGGTGATTGACCCCGAGTCATGTTGTCAGGGAAATCCCCTACTTAGGCCTCTTCCTGCTCGACGGCAAGCAACTCGGATTGGTGTTACACTATGGCCGCTTTATTTTCGCTTTTATAACCGTATATCTGTTATGTTTTAAAGAATTGATTTGACAAGATAGTAAATATTTACGTTCAGTTTCTATTATTTAATTGTTATTCTTAGAAGTCATGATGCCATTGCTGCTACCGCTACATGCTATACAGTGTAATGTGTTAACATTGAAGCTACCGAACACTTACTTTCACTAACATTGAACCTTATTTGTTTCGTGATAATCGCTTTTTATGTTGCTTTGATCATGCTGCAGTAGCAGTTATTCGATTCAATGTCACTTATTACTCAACTTTTGAAATAACTTTCTTCACAGTGCAGATTACTATGTAATGAACGTGATTGTGTATAGTCATAGACAGACATTATCAGTGGTTGTTATGACAACTCCTAAAACATTATTATCAATGCTCATTCTGACATTTCTTTTTATTTCATGTGAATCTCTAGTTTATCGCTCTTCCTGCTCAACAGTGTGCAACTAGGTCAATAAGTTATACAATCCTGGAATGTATTATTTTGCTGACAATCCCTATTTATGCCGGAAATCTGTGTCTGTGCTAGAGAGAGTGTGGGTTGGTGCTATATGAAAAAGAAAATATTACAATAAAGGTGCCAGATTATATGAAGAATGTGTTTTGATGTTTATCAGATGATAGACCTACTTGTATGCATACTTTTATAGAAAGACAAAATAAATTAATTTTAAAAACACATGTAAGATTTTGTTACACCTACCTTGAACCCATGTCTAGCATGTTCATAACTATCAGCAAATGCTCTTAATAATGATGGCTTGGCAAGTTTTAAGGGTGCTACAATGCCTTCTCTTAGATCTAATAAGTGTTCTCTCACACTGTAACCTGGCTGTCTACGTAAATCTAGCTCTTCCAGCTGCTCATCTGATGGACAATAAACAAATGTCTGGTAACCTTATGCATTGTATGAGCAAAACCTAGACGAACAAGCTTGGTGATTTAAATTTGTAGGTCATTCACCAAATCACTGAAAAATATTGCTGGGAAATTAAATAATGAAATTACACCACATTGGTTAGTTTTTGAGTCAATGAATGTCACACCATATTATTACACTAAATAATGTCTTTGAAAAAACAATCAGTCATGTTTACCAGGTGATGTAAAAACTCTACTTGTTCTTATTAGCCCTCTTGTGTTAAAAATGCCATGGTTATTGACATATTGAACATAATTCAAACAACAAACATTACTTGGTATTGCATGTACAATGTAATGTGTTTGGCAAAAAAAGTTTAAGTGAACATGTACATGTTCACATCTACTCTACTATTATTTTTTTCTGTTCAAACCAGGGTAAGTTTCACATTTATATCAGTATATCGCTCAAAGTTGTAACTTGTACTTTATCGTTTAATACAAAAAAGTCTTGAACTATGACCCGAATTGGTGTTCTCAATTTTTTATATTTACTACCTTATACACAAGGTTTTTATCAGCTGATAAACTGATTACTATGTAAACATTTGCATGTGCTGCTATGACAACATACAGGGTGAAAGATTTATATAGATGTCTCAGTTCATCTCATTATGAGACTATATAATGTCACACCATTATTATAATCAAAACAACAAATGTTGTACATGTGTTTACATTCTCCTTCCCAGAGACTATGGGTCTTTTATCACTAAGCTAGGTAGTTGCCGGGGAACGCCCCACTAGTTGTGGCTCTCTGTGGCTCCTTAGGTCAGGTCGCAAGCTCAAAGACTCTGCAAGGGCGAGTGATGTGTTTACTTACCGAGCAAAGACACAGCATCAACTGCTTTCATACGGTAAATATATGTTATAGTTTCTATAGAAATAAAACACAAATGGTTTAACTGACAGCATCTGTACTTTTTATCTTCAACCCAAAAAGATGTATAAAGAGTTTACCAGAATACAGTACATACTCTGTGTATGGCCGTCTTTGAGTAGCCTTTGTATTGTACACAATGTATATATGAACACATTCAGTGTAGGTCTGTCTACTCTAAAAGAATATTATATGAACAATCCAAGACAATAACAATAACACCTGTTACTTAATTCCAAGTCTTTTTTCACATTTTGTGTAATTTGTAAGCCACCTAGCATTATAACTATTTTTGTTGAAGTTTGTTTTAATAATTTGCTGTTAAGAATTACCTCCTGTAGGGTTCTCGCCCTGTAGAAATCTGTATCTGTAGTCATTAGCTCGTAGCATATGTGGTTCATGTTTAATTTCTTGGATTCTGTCCATTCGTCTTTCAATCTCTTTCTTAAGTGCTTTTGGTGCATGGTGACCAACAGAAACATGAGGACCTCTCCGCGACTTCAGAGCAAACCTCATTATCTGTCGCTTCGCAAAGATGAATAATATCAAGAATGCCTGTAGAGAGAAAAAGCATAGAATTCACATTATAGCGTTCATAATACAGAAAATAGCAAAATATAAAACGAAGCAGAGCATCATGGGTATTATCTGGTTAACTGTGCACAAACTCCAAAATGATGAGTGGCTAAGCCACTTTAAAATCACCTTTCATTGACATTCAGCAACTAGTATTTCAATGCAAAATATTATAATAGGTGTATTGAATTTTAGTTTTCTGTCACTATTAAAATGACATTGTTTAACGCCATGACTGTACCTGAGAATCCAGAAGGGGTCCACAATTTGAAATTATGAATGTTGTGGCTGTAAAAGTGTGACCAGTGCATTTTTTTCACAGTGTTTTATCTGTACATTTTTTTTTTGTATTGAATGCGCTATGTCAGTCGGCCATTTTGAATTTGATCTGTAAACCGAAATGATGTGCACCAGAGACTTATGATATCTAATGTATGTACCAAGTTTGAACGAAATCCATCCATAAACAACCGAGATCCAGTTCCGGAATGCCAGAAAAGCTTGATTTTTGATGATTTTTATGCACAAAAATGGAGACCATTCGGCCATTTTGAATTGGATTGTCAAACCATGGATGTACTAACATGGATGTTTGTGTTAGTACATCCATGGTCAAACCAATATATCTGTATATCTATAATGAATATTTAAAATTTGAACATAATCGGTCAAAGCATGTCAGAGATGTGGCACTAGAACCATATTCATTACTGTCATCGCCATATTGTTTTGAACACCAAAACAGCAACATTGCCAGCTAAATTGCTGACTGCTTTGGTGTACGCATCTGAAGTTCGTTATCTTACTTGACCTCCTCGGATCAACTCATTTTTAAGAGGGGGTGCCGCTCGACTCAATGTGGGCAGTGTAAGTAAGCTTAAGTTAGCACACGGCTATTTCTCTCAGTGTGCTTGTTTTGTTTATTATTACAGCGAGTCTCAGAAGTATTGGAGCAGCCAATTTGCAAATCCGCTAACGAATTGGCTAACTGCTTGTGTTTTGACTAAACAATTAGCTTTCTAATCTCGCTGGCGCCGACTTGTGGTCGCGTCCACTCTGGACGAGTCTATATTGCATTAGGGGACATAATTTTTACCTAGCCTGGAATTGCTTTGTTACGTGAGGCATTATAATGTATAAGTAGTTTCCCTGTAGTCATAGTACAAATGTAAAGTAAACAAAATTATCGAGAGTGATTTTGGATTTGTTAAAAAAATAGCCGAAATGCAGTGACATTGTCTAATTTGGGATGGGAATTGTCAAGCCAGTGTATAAAATAGTGAACACAAATTTTCGTAAATAATACTGATGGCAAAGAAAGCCCATCGCGAAGTGTCTTAAATATAAATATTATACTAAAGAACGGTATGTCTCTCTTGGAGGATGTAGTGGCCTTGAAAAGGGGCCACTTTGTTTAGGTTTTCTTAATATATAGCGGATTATATTTAAAATCTGCAATGTCGGAAGAAACCTCTAGAAAGTTCCGGCTTGATCATGTCCAGGGCATCCAGAAAAGCGAGTTCAGTGAGCCGATTAGCAAATACGTCATTTCTTTGCAATTCTCGTTTTTGATGTCGACAACAAAGCTAGCGGGTATTAAATTGTGAGCTATATGTAGGCTGAAACAAGAGAGGGACTTGTCTGGCATCGAGCATCTGACGGAGAACGGGTTATGCAAAATTACCGAAACAATTGTCCATCACAACAGTGTCGCCTTCTCCAATAAACAGCTGACCATCTACTACTTCTTCATTCAGTGCCTCCTCAAAAAGTTTTAACTGCTCCATCCCATTTGAAGGACCGCAGAGAATATTGAAATGGGTTACACCAAGCGGGCTATGCAATAAATTCACGGTAAAATTTATGTTGGATGTGTATCTTTGCACTTCCACTGCCAGCTGACCGACTAAAACATGTCCATAGACATGATTGCCTGCCGTGTGTTTCACTTCCACTTCATCATGTCGATATAATTCATAATTCTGCCCGTGTTATGTTCCGTCAGCTGTTCTTTCGGAATATATGTAATTTTTTTTATATGAGTAGTCTAAATCTCACTTGAATGTGTGGTATATGGTTCTTGTGGATGGCAGCGTGTTAGGCGTACAAACACCCTCATTCAACAGCTTTTCTTTCACTTCGCTAGCTGACATAGATGCTTTGTTGGCCTTCAAAATTCAGTAAATTCCACTACTTCGGTGGTCCCCTTTGTATGTGAGTGACCGGTTGACTTAGAGGCGCAAGTTTTTCGACTATGCCGTGTATAGTACCAGTCTCATTGGCTAAATATCGCAGCGAAAATCCATTCAGCCAATGACGTACTATATATGACCGGGTTGTAGGATCAACGAACCTAGAATTTTGCATTGTGAAATTATTAAAATAGTCGTGGAAAAAAGTGTATGTGTGTTTTACCGATAGAACTTTATTGGACTGGACAGCGCAATGTAATAATAAACTTGTGCACAAAACTTCAACAGAAAGAACGTTCCATTATAATTTTGGGGTTGTCGCTTTTAGTGCGACACTGTACATTGAAATCGGGGATGTAATCCTTGAATTGATTTCCAGAACACTTGACTTGTGTATTCGTATTCAGTGCGCGTTTCTTTTTGGTGTTAGTTTGATCCAAGGTGGTCAAGTAAGATAACAATCTTCAGACGCGTACACCAAAGCAGTCAGCTGGCAATGTTGCTGTTTTGGTGTTCGAAACAATATGGCGGTGACAGTAAAACAAATTGATGTGCATATGTATAATTACAGTCCCTCTATCCCCGGTCTGGAAACGACTAGCGCTCTTTTGTCTTGAACCGCGGGTAAACAAACCATTCACACCTGGGAGGAAGTCAAACAGATTACAATACCGCCAGAATATTCATTAAATTCAGCAAATTTACCATCATGCAAAGCGATACCTCATTGTATGACTTCACTTTGACTTCAAATTTGGGCAACCACAATGTAAACAAAACATGTAAACAAAATTAGCACTATGAAATTTGGGGTTTTTGAACCCTTATACGCATCAAAACCAGTCTACCAACTCATAAACATCCAGTTCCTGCCATGTAAAGAATAATATCCGGAATTAGGTTCATCTTTTAGTTTTAATAGGGAAAAAACTTCACGTACCAACATGCTGACATCGCTAAACAAATCTTGTCAAAATGGCGTCGTTCATGTTAACATAGTCGATCGAAAAACCTGTGATATTTCTGATTTTCGGGGGTTCATAACAGTTCAAGTCAACTATACAATCAAAGAAAGCTTAGAAAGAACTCCCATGTGCTGAGAGTATTGGAGACACATTAAATATAATTCGAAATTACTTAGCTGAAAACTAATTATGCAAATCAGAAAATTAATATGACCAGATTTGAGTGTAAAACTAATGAGGTCTGCGCAATGTAACAGAAAATCTATGTCTCCAAGTTTAATTGAAATGTGATTAGAACCAAAAAATTATGAATTATTATGCTTATTAGGGAATTAATATGAACAGATTTTTACCCCAAACTAATTAGGTTTGTACATTGTCCTAGAGCATCTTTATACTAAGTTTCATTGAAATGGAATAATTAGTACCGTGAAAACTCCAAAATTTCGACCCCTCTAAAAATTCGATCGCCTATTTATTTGCCGGGTTTCGGTGTTTTATTTACCTCCAAATTTTCGATTCCAC